AAAGTTTTATTTAAATATTTTGACATCTTAAAAAAGTAAATCAGAGCTAAAAAAGTGCAAAAATGCAGGCAAATTTGTCTGTGTTTTACTACAATCTAAGGGATAAAAATGATTAGGATCAAAAGGTTTAAACAGGTAACTCTCTAGTAGAATTATAGATACAACATCTAGTATAGAACCTACAGATGAATTATGGTTATAGGTATAGTATAGGGCTTGTGGTTAGAATGTAAAATTTCTCATTTTTAATTAGTGCTACTTTCGTATAAACTGGACAAATGATTACACATTTGGGTCTGATCTTCGATTTAATAATAAGTAGAAGATTTAAGTCCAATACCATTTGCACATTGACGGCATTTTACCAACCTCACGAACTTCATAAAAAATACCAAGGGCAAAAACTTAACATACTAGTTTTAGTGGAGAGCGCATAATTAGTTTCAGCACGAGTATCCTCACAAATTATTACATCAAAACGGCTGCATCTTCAAAGCCAGAGATGTCAATTTGTCATTCATCTGATATTTGCATGCCACGAAATGGCTATTTTAGTGAAAGTGCAATTAGTAGTGCTGTTGCTCCGCCCATGTCAAGTGATGAACAAGTAAAAATTGTGACTTATCCAAATGCTGTAAATACGCAGAGTACGAAAAGTGGAAAAAATAATAATATAAATCCTGATGAGAATAGTAAATGGTAAGTTAGTATATAATAAAATTCAGTAGGATTTGTATAAAAATTTTTTGCTAAAATTTCCAAATTACCAATTCATGGTATAGAATTATATAATCAATTATTCATGATCTTTCGTGTTCAGCCTTTTTTTCATCTTTTTGAATAAAATAGGGTTCTGAATTTAATGATTAGTGCACTGATTACCAGGAAAATAAGTCTTTCGACCTATCACATTACTTACTCACACCATAATATCTTCTTTTATCCTATATTACCTTTAATGCACAACAGATTAAAATATGGCGATCAAATAAAATCAACCCTTAAAAAAAAAAGTTGAATCAACTTCCTCTTGTTAGAGATGAATAATATCCAGGATAATGAACTTTGGGCTGATGATGATTTCGAAACTGATATTGAATATGATATTAATGATAATAATAGTAAAGGAATAGGATCTTTTTCTAAATCATCATCGGCATTAAAAGACAAAAAAACTACCGGTCTACCAAAAAAAAGAAAAAAGCGCAGACTCATAGCTGAAGCATGGCAATATTTTAAATTAGAAGAAAATTTCGCAGTATGTCAAGTCAAAATAACTCAAGATGGAAAAAAAAAAAATGCAAGTGTAAATATGATTGTTCTAATTCAAATTTAACAACATCAATGAATTACCATATAACACAAGAACATAATATAGTCCTTAAAAGTCTGGCTAAAAAAGTATTATTTAATTTATTGTTATCATTATTCTTAATAAGTAAATTTACATTATCCAAATTATTATAATTCTGTAATATGTAATAGGTAGAAAAAAAAGAACAGGTTATACTTGAACAAATTGTAGAAAAAGTAAAACCACATAATACAAATAAACAAAACGAATTACAAGCAGCATATACAAAATGGATTGTTCTGGATTCTTTGTCCTTTAATGCACTTCATGGAAAAGAATTTCAGCGATTTATGAAAAAAATTGATCCACAATTTAAACCACCATCTGATAAAGGATGTAAGAATTTTATAGTAGCAGCTTATCAGGATGGAATAACCAAACTTAAAATGCAAATTAATGAAACATGTGAATATGCTACCATTACAACGGATCTCTCGCTCTGGACCACCAGATCCAAATTTGGATATATCGGTATTATGATTCATTGGCTCACATCTAATTTTAAAATTATTGATGCACTTCTTACTATTGAACGTATGCGATACCCCCATATAGCTGAGAAAATTAATGATTATATTAATAATAAAATAGACAAATTTGGTTTAAGTAAAAAATTATTTTTAGAGGTTACCAATAATGGTCCCAATATGAAAAAAGCCTTTACCATGTAGGAAGATATTGAATGGTTACCCTGTTCTGCTTATACTCTTCAACTATCTGTGACAAAAAGTTTAAAAAAAATTAGCCCTTATGTAAAAGATTCAAAAAATTAGTAAAGTTTTTTACAGAATCAGTTAAACAATCCGAGCAGCTTGATGCAGCACAAATAGCTCTTGTATGACAAAATCATATTGAAGAAAAGAATGTTGAGGTTGTTCGATTTAATCAATTATCAACTCTTGATATGGATGAAGAAGTTAGTTTAGAAAAAGAGGATGAAAATAATAGAGAAATCGATGAATCTACAATAAAAGTATTGCGCAATATTACTGATATTTGTACTAGATGGAACTCTAGTTACTCTTCATGGACAAGACTTCTAGAATTAAAAGATGCAATAAAGTGGTTAGCATTTGCGTTACTCTTAAAAAAAGGAAAAGAAAATAAAAAAGATGGTCAAAAATTGTTTCAGTTACTGTTGAAAGATTATGAATGGAGGGTTAGGGTCCCATAACCTAGTGGTCTAGGTGCCTAATCCTCCACAGACAAGGTCAACGATTCGATTACAGCTGGTGGTAATTAATTTAATTAATTATCTCTGTAACCTATCCCTTAAATTGTTTTGCAGCCAAATTTGCCTGCAAACTTTTTTAAATTTTAAAATTTTTTAATAAAATTT